CCATCTTTTTTTCGGTGTTTTTCCCCTTTGGGTTTTGGGTCATACATGTTTGTTTTGGGTAAAAGGGGTTTTTGCAACCCGAAACTATTTGCTCAAATCATAGGGTTTACAAAAACTAGGCCCCGATGAAGAAATAGTGGAGGGAAAAAGGGGGTGTATAGCGTTTTAGTGAGGAACTGGGTGCAGCAATTTTAAGGGGTGGTGGGGGTGTCGAGTTAAACCCTCTGCCAAAAAAAACTCAGCCGGCCCCCTTTAAGACATCTGTTTGTTTCCTTAACTGGGTTAAAGAAGCGAGAGTACACCTAAGGTAACTGTTTGAGAATTGAAAAAAAAAACCCACATCTTTTCTCAGAAGGGCTGTAAGAACTGGGCTATAGTATCACCCCGAGGGTTAAAAAACCGCCTCTCCCAAGCCACAGAAGGGAAAAGCAAAGCTTGGGTTATACAAAAAAAATATCTTAAATGGAATCCTCAACATGACCTGAAGTACTTTGGATGATGAAGCAAAACCCTTTTAGTCCCCCTGTAAAAAAGGGGGAAAACGTTTTCCGGCCCAGGTTTTTGACCCTTTGATCCATGAAAAATTTGTGGGGCCACCAAACACCTAGCCCCGTTTCGGGTTTGGGGGGGGTTTTTAGTGCTCAGGGGTTAAACTTGTGCTTCCCCAAAAAACCCTATAATTACCCGGGGGTTAATGTGTAAAAATTTACCCGAGGGGTTTGAAAGGACGGGGGCGTTGGGCATACCACCAATCCCGTTTGTTTAGTGGGTTTAAAAAAACTGTGAACAAGGTTTTTTTAATGGGCCTAAACCCTATTGAGAACCTCTAGTCATAGTGGGAAACCAAGTTTACTGGGGGAAAGGGTACATTCCATCCCGTGTGGAGGCGTCTACAAAAAGGGTGGGAAAAATTTTACCTCCCCAAACCCTTAAAAAAAATTTTCCCAGTTCCTACAAGCGGGGGGATGTGATTAAACATATAGGGTTTTAGCAACCCAATATTAAAAAATTAAATGTGGGAAATTTTGGGTGTTTTTTTTATATAAAAATATATATATATATATTATTATTTTTATGGGTTTTTTTTGGTTTTTTCGTAAAATTTTTGTGGGGGGGGGGCAGCATAATGCCGTACTAGCACGTTTGTCCAACTGGTGGGGGCTAATATGGTTCACAAATGGGGTGGGTTTAGTTATTTTCAGCAATTTTTTTTGCTGATCCCTTGGGTTTTAAGCATTTTCGTAACATCCTGGGGCTTTAGATAGGGGAAACCCTAGGCCTGTGACTGTTTTTGTGAAAAATCCCCGGGATACCGCTTGAGTGGGGGCGGCGAGCTACCGGCCTCAGTCGGGGGGTTTTTTCTTTGGGTAGGGGCCCAAGGGGGGGCGGGGGGGTCCACTCCCATATCACGTTGACAATAATCGTTACCAAACCCAAAAAGTGTGCCCACCTTTAACCCTCGATATCTTCCCCTTTTTGAACCCCCTACGATATTATTTTCAATATTGCATAACAGTAAAAAAATTTTTTTTAAAAAAATTCCCAAAAAAAGAAATTATGTGAAAAACATGGGGGAATTGGAACCCTTTAAGAAAGAGGAAATGTTTTTTTAGTGCCAGGGAAAAGGCCCCATTTTTTTCTTGGGCCCCCCTTTTGAAATTGGAAAAATTTTGAAAAATTTTTGTGAAATTTTGGGCCCAATTACTAATTTTTTTATCACAAATTTGGGAGTTGAAAAAAGTTGATTTTGGGGTTTTTTGTTTTCAGTTTATAAAATTGAAAAGGTAGTGAAATTCCCAAAAATTTTGGGCAAATGGAAAAATGTAAAATTGGGCCCAAAAAAGGACTGTGGGCAAAATTGCGATGCGTAAATTTTGCTGGGCATGGCAAAAATTTTGGGAAAGCCCTAATTTTTATCAGTTTTCCATAAAAATTTTTTACTTTTTGGGTTTTTTTACTTTAGAAAAAGGAACTTAAAAGACTTTTTTTTTTTTTTTTTTTTTATTATTAATTCTTGGACACAGAGCAAATTTTTAGATCAGGGGTCTGGACAATGAAAGGGTTTTAAAACCTCACCTTTAAAATTTTTTTTTTTTATTGCTGAAAGTGACCCCCCTTTGGGTTTAAACATTTTTCGGATGCCTTTTTTTTAATTTTTTTTTTAAAAAAAAAATAAGAAACATTTCAGTACTAATCAAAATCATAATGGGAATTACCACCAAAAAAAATTGGGGGTTTGGATACTGGTTATTGTTTGCATAAGCCCGCTGAAGAATTGGAAAAATAATCTTGAAGTTACACAAATATACATTGTTTTTTTTTCAGATAAAGGGTTATACACTATGCAAAAATAAAAATTTGATATAAAATTGGTGGGATAAAGCTCAGGGGAAAAAAAACATTTTTTTTTTAAAATACTTTAAATTTTTGCATTACTTTTATGGCTTAAAATGATTTTGGGTAATTTTTTCCAATTTTCTGTAGTTGTATGCTGTATAGCCCTTGTGGCTTAGCACTTCTTTTTGATTATAATAATAATAATAATAATAATCTGTAGTTGTATGAAAAGTTTAGCATCTGTCTGCAAGCAGTGGGTACTGAAAAATGGCCTTGATATAATCTTGATTTTAGCAATACTAAGGCACCTCCATGTCAAGCATTTGTGGTGGAATGGGTCATGCCACAGCTGCCACAAGTGGAAATATACTGTAATAAAATTCTGAATTGTGCATGTGATGTATGTCATGGCTGCCATTTCATTACTATAGCTTTCAGGCTCAAACTTCTTTGCAGTGCATTATTATGGCTACATTCGTGAAGGAGTGTTGAATCCACAGGGGGTAATAGTGTTTGGTGGGGAGGGGAATGGTAGGCCATCAGGTTCTAAGTAAGGGAAGATATGTCCAATTACTTGGATCAAGAGCCCTACACCATCAGCTTTAAAATGGTTGTTCTTAAGACTCCTTTTGATGGGCTAAGGCCGCTAAGTATTTGTTCAGTCATAAGATATAAATTTCATAGTTATTGTTGCTCTCATTCTAATTGTTGGTCATAGGAAACCCTGTGCACCATTTACTCCCAAGAGCCCTGCTTATTCTGTAGCCCATTTTTGTATGTGATGTTGAATTTTTTGGCCTTTTTTTCTTATCCAGAGGTACATCTTTAATGTTATTTGTTTTAAATGGTTTTCATAGGTTTATGTAACTTAACCAAAAATGGACTATAGCATTTGTAAATTTGCAGGAATTAAGAAGTTAATGTTGAACCACATTATTATTATTATCAAAAAGAAGCGCTAAACCACAAGGGCTATACAGCATGTTGAACCACATACACGCTTAAACGAGGATAATTATAAAATGTAGTATGCTCTAGGTCTTTTTTGTGGTGCAGAATCTCCCGGGTTGGCTTAATACATACTTTGCATCCATGTTATTGTGCTGCATGTTGTCCTGACTAATTTTAGAATGGGCTTGTTGAGGCAAAGGTTGCTGCAGTACATAACAAACAAACTTACACTAAACATTGACAAAACCTACTTCATTCAGTTTGGTAACAGAGCTACAGATGTCCCTCTTAACATAATGATAAACGGATCACCTATCACAAAGCTAACAGAGGGAAAATTCTTAGGAATCCACCTTGATAATAGACTCAAATTTCATACACATATACAACAAATTTCTAAGAAAATTTCCAAGACTGTAGGCATACTATCGAAGATACGGTCTATGCTCCACAGTCAGCCCTCCTGGCCCTATATCACTCTCTTATTTACCCCTATCTACCTAGGGAATTTGTGCATGGGGCTCAACTACAAGTAACCATCTCAGACCACAATTTACCCAACAAAAGGCTGCAGTTAGAATGATAACAAATTCTCACTATGGGCAGCACACTCCACCAATATTCAATACACTAAACCTACTCACCAAAACAAAACATCCATACTTATTACTGCACCTATTACATACATAGAACACTTAACTCTGATATTAACCCTCCCCTCAAACATCTCCTTGCCAACCTCAACAGAACACATGACCATAACACAAGGCACAGATCACTCTTTGATGTTCCTCGTGTCCATCTCACACTATGCAAAAACTCAATGCACATAAAAGGCCCTAAAATCTGGAATTCATTACCTGTAAATATAAAAGAAACACTACCTGTTTATAAATTCAAGTCTCTTCTCAAAGATCACTTACTCACCCAAAACCAAATAAATACTGAATAACTGAACCTTATAAATTGTATATCTTAAATGTTTCTCACAATTATATCACATAAATGTTAAACCTAAAACCCAATCTAACTTTATTATTTTTTAAATACACTACCTAACAGAATACTCCATTCTACTGAATGTACAACAATGCATACAACCATATGACCTGTCTTTGTAATACTCACTTGTGCTTTATAGTAATCTGTTTACATTAAAGTTTTATCACTGATTTCATCATTGCTTAGTTAATCTTAAGTTAATTTTAAGCCAGCCCGTAATGCTATGCATAGTATAAGTGGTTTTGGCATGCTGCTCTTATCTGTATTTTTTGTACCTCTGTATGTGTGCTCAAATTTTTAAATAAATAAATAAATTAAATATTGTTCTGTAGCCAATTTCTGCCTTGGTGACCTTTAGGCCACATACAAAGGGAAAGTCCTTGGAAGGCTCCTGGTTGGTGAGCCCTTCAGATGAGCTTGTTGCTCATCTATAGGACCTTGGTGATTTTCATGATTGCTGGTGTCTTTGCAGGGACACTGGTAACTTTTTAAATCGGCCACTTATGGCTTAAAAGTTTCTTACTAATTTGAGTAGGTTTTAAAGTTTAAATATTTTTTTTAGTTCTTAGGCTGTACAAGGCTTGTTCATTTTTTATATTGTAGTAAAAATATTTTAAGTTTTATACAGTGTAAGCAACTTTTTAATTTTTTTTTGCCCTTCCCCTTCATTCATAGATGGTTTCTTACTGTAGTTTAGCAAGGGGGCATAATTTAATGTGGCATTTCCTGTAACTACAAGTTGTCTAACAATTTTTTTTTTTTCCAGGAAACTGAAGAATAGAGTGGCTGCACAGACTGCCCGTGACAGAAAAAAGATGAGAATGGACCAACTAGAAGCACAGCTTTCTGAGATGTCTGATCACATTTCAGAATTGACAGACCTCACTAAACTACTAACTGAGCAAAATGCAGCTTTGCAGGAGAAGTTGACTAGGTGTACTTGCGACTTGGCAGAATACAGAGAGTCGATTCCTATAAGTAGGAAAACCACTAACCGTGAACCACAAAATGCTGAGGTGGAGGGAGTCGTGATCCCTGTCAACGTCCCAACTGTTGGATCAGCCGTATCCTTAACCCTGCAGCGGGCAGTTGGGACATTGGCAGTAATGAGGATCATGGTGCTCTCCACACTCTGTTTCCAGTGGATAATAACTGCAGCCTTGGGTCTGATGTACACAGAAATAGTTTCTTCTGCAAAGAGCAGGCAAATGCCATCTCAGAGCAGTCAACCCCAACACTCCCTGCCAGTGAAAAAGAGAACAGCTGGTCTCAAATGGTGGGGACCACAACAACAGATGTGGAATCCAACTGGGATATAGCAGATCATGACTACACTAGAGGATATCATTCAAAAGAGGGCCTAAATGAAAGACTTACTCCTGCTGAAGAGGACCTTATTTCTCAGTTAACCAATGCACTGGATGAAGTTCCTTCCCAGAGTGTTAAAAAAGTGTCGCCAGGTGTTGCATCACTCAAACTAAAATGTCAAACCGAAGATGTAGGTACTCCAGACATTTTGAAAGATTTCCTAGATTTTGACTCTCTTGCAAATGTAACTATAGCCACAAATGACAATGAGAAGTGTCCAGGTACACAGCAATCTCCTTACAGAGTGCCTTCACCCATTAGTAAGGAGCAGATACTAGAGTTTCTTCAAGATAAAGTGAATAGTTGTAGTTCAGAATCTCTCTTAGATTCAGAGTCTGGATATGGATCTATTTCATCACCACAATCGCTGAGATCACAAGAGAAGTTCTCCCCCACAACCTTCCACCCTTTGTGTTTTGAAGGTAAGTTGGACTCGATATGATTTTTTTACGAATTTTTTTCCATCCTTTTTCTAGCCTGCTGTTTTCTAGCTTTGGAGTACCGGGAAATAATTTACATTTACATGTATATTTTTTTAACTTTGGCAAACTACATAAATTTGAAAATTAAGATTGGAATGCAGGATTAATTTATATTTACCCTCATTTTGTGATATATATAAAAAAAAAAATTTTTTTTTTTTAATTACCTAATGAAGAATGTTCAATTTTAAAACCGCAACCATCCCTCCCATTCCTCGATAATAACTTGCACTCACCTTTTATAAAGCAGCTCTCATTTGTTCCAACCAAATTTTTCTTGTACTGTTCTCCAGTAGATTCCTGTTTGCACTAATCCCAAAACATATTTTCAAAGATGGTAAAAAAATTTCTCAATTTTCAGAATTGATAAGCAGAAATTATGTTCAGTTTTGATACATCAAAGGGGACTGAATGATGCCCAAATAATAAACTTTTTTTACGTGTAAGTATCCCTAGAGAAAAATTTCTAAAGGGGTTTTTCCCCCCAAATTTTTTTTTCCCTTTCATTTTTCTTTCCCGTACGTCTTAGACCTTTCTAGGCCCTTGCATGGCCTTGTCGGGTTTTGCATTTTCTTTTATTGTAATAAAAAATTATCCCCCCATCCCTTTTAGATCAAAATTTAAACTTTACAGTAACAAGGACCAATTTTGGAATAACAGGCATGAAGGGGCTTGGGCCAAGTTACAAACCCCTTCCCCCTTATTATTATTATAAACAAAAAGAAGCGCAAGCCCCAAGGGGTATCAGCGCTGCATTATTATTATTATAATCAAGGGGGAAGCGCTAAACCCGGAGGATTATACAGGCCTGGGGGGGGGGGTGTGGAAGGCTTCAGGCTTAATTCGGGGAACTGGAGCTCAGATCCAATTCCCTAAATCAAAGCCCCTCACCAACATAAAGGGAAATTCCCCTTTAGGGGTACAGACTGCAGGGTAGGGAAGGAAGCAAGGAATTTGGGTGGCAGAAAAAGGGGGGGGGGATGATCAGCCGGTTACAGAAAACAGCGGGGCAGGGGATAGTACGGGGGTAGAGGGTAGCAAGAGATTCAAGTAGAAAGGGCTGAAAGTATCAGAATCTGTGAAGTAAGTCAGTCGTTGTCAAAAAGTCAATGAGAGAGTCCGGATGAAAGGTGGGTCCATCAGCGAGAAGGGAAGGTAAAGAGAGAGCAGCGGGGCGAAGACGACGACAGAGGTAAATTCTGCGTGCTCGTCACTTCCACTCCCATTCTCATGCCACTGCTGTGTACACAGATGGCTCTAAGTCTTCAGACGGCGTCGGATTCGCAGCAGTGTTTCCGGACAGCGTCGTACGAGGGCATTTACTATCTTCAGCTAGCATTTTTACTGCTGAACTGTATGCCATTCTTGCAGCACTTATTCGTATCGCATCTATGCCTGTGTCATCATTTGTAGTAGTCTCAGACTCCCTTAGTGCTCTACAGGCTATACGAAAATTTGATACATCTCATCCCCTAGTTCTCCGTATCCAACTTTGGCTACGCCGTATCTCTACCAAACATAAAGATATTGTTTTTTGTTGGGTCCCTGGTCATGTCGACGTACAGGGCAATGAACAGGCAGACACTGCTGCGCGGTCAGCAGTATATGACCTACCAATTTCCTATCGAGGTGTTCCATTTCTGGACTATTTTGCTGCAATAGCTACCCACCTTCGCACCGTTGGCAACAACGTTGGTCAACTCTGCTCGGTAACAAACTTCATTCTATTAAACCGAGCATAGGTTACTGGCCGTCTTCTTGTCATCAGTGCCGAAGTTGGGAGACCACATCTCTCCCGCCTTCGCATTGGCCACACTCGTCTTACTCATGGGTATCTCATGGAGAGGCACCCTGTTCCTCTCTGTGAGCAGTGTCAAGTTCCAGTATCGATTAGCCACATTCTGTTAGACTTGCCCTCTCTATCAACGAGCACGCAGATTTACCTCCAACGTCGTCTTCGTTCTACTACTCTCTCTTTACCTTCCCTTCTTGCTGATGGACCCTCCTTTAATCCTGACTCTCTCATTGACTTCTTGACAACGACCGATTTACTCCACAAACTCTGATGATACTTTTCGCACTCCCCTCAGCCCTTTCTGGTTCAGTCTCTTGCTGCCCTTTACCCTTTCACCATCCACTGCCCCGCTGTTATCCGTAACCTGTTGCTCATCCATCTCCCTTTTGCCACCTGATGCCCTCACTTCCTTCCTGCCCTGCAGCGCTGTATAGTCCTTGTGGCTTAGCGCTTCTTTTTGATTATAATAATAATAATAATCTACAGGCTATACGAAAATTTGATACATCTCATCCACTAGTTCTCCGTATCCAACTTTGGCTACGCCGTATCTCTACCAAACATAAAGATATTGTTTTTTGTTGGGTCCCTGGTCATGTCGACGTACAGGGCAATGAACAGGCAGACACTGCTGCGCGGTCAGCAGTATATGACCTACCAATTTCCTATCGAGGTGTTCCATTTCTGGACTATTTTGCTGCAATAGCTACCCACCTTCGCACCCGTTGGCAACAACGTTGGTCAACTCTGCTCGGTAACAAACTTCATTCTATTAAACCGAGCATTTGGTTACTGGCCGTCTTCTTGTCATCAGTGCCGAAGTTGGGAGACCACTCTCTCCCGCCTTCGCATTGGCCCACACTCGTCTTACTCATGGGTATCTCATGGAGAGGCACCCTGTTCCTCTCTGTGAGCAGTGTCAAGTTCCAGTATCGATTAGCCACATTCTGTTAGACTGCCCTCTCTATCAACGAGCACGCAGAATTTACCTCCAACGTCGTCTTCGTTCTACTACTCTCTCTATACCTTCCCTTCTTGCTGATGGACCCTCCTTTAATCCTGACTCTCTCATTGACTTCTTGACAACGACTGATTTACTCCACAAACTCTGATGATGCTTTTCGCACTCCCCTCAGCCCTTTCTGGTTCAGTCTCTTGCTGCCCTTTACCCTTTCACCATCCACTGCCCCGCTGTTATCCGTAACCTGTTGCTCATCCATCTCCCTTTTGCCACCTGATGCCCTCACTTCCTTCCTGCCCTGCAGCGCTGTATAGTCCTTGTGGCTTAGCGCTTCTTTTTGATTATAATAATAATAATCTGCGTGCTCGTTGATAAAGTGGGCAGTCCAACAGAATGTGGCTGACTGATAATGGAGCTTGGCAATTCTCACAGAGAGGAGCAAGACGCCTCTCCATGAGATATCCATGAGTAAGACGAGTATGGCCAATGCGAAGACGGGAGAGAGTAGTCTCCCAACCTCGACACTGGTGATAAGAAGACGGCCAGTAACCTATACTCGGTTTAATAGACTGAAGTTTGTTGCCAAGCACAGTAGACCAACGTTGTTGCCAACGGGTGTGAAGGTGGGAAGATATTACAGCAAAATAGTCCGTACATGGAATACCTCTATAAGAAACTGGTAGGTCATGTACTGCTGACCGCGCAGCAGTGTCTGCCTGTTCATTGCCCTGTACGTCAACATGACCAGGGACCCAACAAAAAACAATATCTTTATGCTTAGTAAAGATGCGGCGTAGCCAAAGTTGGATACGGAGGACTAAGGGGTGAGGTGTATCAAATTTTTGTATAGCCTGTAAAGCACTAAGGGAGTCTGAGACAACCACAAATGATGACACAGGCATAGATGCAATACGGATAAGAAACCCATTCCCAGCATCCTGAAATGGCTTGGATAACTCAAAATCTTCAGTGGGGTAGCTTCACTTTCAAAAGAAAGTGCTTCTTAATACTACAATAGTGGAGAGTGAAATTCAAGCAAGTACAGATCTGACCATTTTGTTTGTAAAATCGACATTTTAATTCCTATTTAATCATGATCAAATCATTTGTCTCCCCTCAAGGGATGCTTTTTTGATTATAATAATAATAATCCCCTCAAGGGAGGTTCCTTGATGCTGGTGAGGGGCTCTTGATTTAAGGAATTGGATCTGTTCTCCAGTTCCCTGAATTAAGCCTGAATACTTTCTATCCCCCACCCCCCCCACAGGTGCTGTATAATCCTATGAGTTTAGTGCTTCCCCATGATTATTATAATTGTCTACTTTTTCTGAATGGCTTCAATATTTAACGGCTAATTTATCTTGCAACCAGAATAGTACAAATTCAGTTTAGACTAAAAAAAACACTATTTTTTTTTTAGAGGGTTGTAGAGAATTTTAAATTCTCTACAACCATCTGGGTTTAGCACTTCCCCTTGATAATAATAATAATCTATAACCCTCTAAAAGTCTAACAAGAAAGTAATGAAAGATCACATTGAGTGAATTGCATTTTCTTAGACTGCAAGACTATAGTCCTTGTGGCTTAGCGCTTCTTTTTGATTATAATTAATTAGAGCAAAAAGGCATTTTATAGTAGAAAAGGGCGGGGGCGGGGGGGAAGTTAATGAGAAAGAGGGGAAAAGTGAGGTGTTTAAAATTTTCAGGTTTTGGCCTGCAAACAATATATGACTTTACTGACATTCATCCACCAGAGAAGGAAAAGTGAAGAGAAATGAATGTTCCCTTAAGAGACCAGTTGCCGTCATAAATTCAACAATATGCATTTGGTGGACAAATGTGACATGCAGATTGTTTGTTTCGGGAAGAATTAAAAGTGGTACATAAATCAGTTCTTCCAATTGTTGACACTGCAATGCTGAATGCCTACAATATGTACCAGGTAAGAACTAGGAACAGACTGACATATGCTGACTTCTCTGCCTGTCATCAGACAAATACAGTGGACCCTCGCCTAACGATGTTAATCCGTTCCTGAGAGCTCATTGTTAGCCGAACTAATTTTCCCCATAAGAAATAATGGAAATCAAATTAATCCGTTCCTGACACCCCAAAGTATGAAATATACATTTTTATACACTCAAAAAGAAGACATGCACAATTACTACTGTACTAAATAAAGAATATGTACATGACACCTTTATT